TATTAAAAATCAACAATTGGTGGATATTTATTCCAACAGATGATACAGGCTATCAGCAACTTTTAGTTGAATGATCAGGAAAAACCTTTTTGTCTAATTTATCCACCTGTTCCTAGTACAATTTCACAATTTTATATGAAAATCATTTGATAAGGCACAATTTGGTTTATTCTATATACAGTTACGACCATCTTTCCTCATGTCACAGATGCGCGCGCATCATCATTATGATCATTATATCATTATCTAATGATAATAATAATAATTATTATTATTATATTATATATTATTATTATTATTAATATATATATAGTCACGACCGTCTTTCCTCATGTCACGGATGCGCGCGCATCATCATTATGATCATTATCTTCTATAGAAGCTTCTATCTTTATAATTATGAATATTTACAAAAAGTCAATTCGCTCGCGCCTCTAGCGGTGAAAATGAGGGGTAATACCAGCTGACCTAATGTACATGTAAAGTTTGGAGCGGGACGTTTCACAAGAGTGACATCCACGGCTCCAATTTATAATTGTAACAAATAGTATTTGGATAAAAACATTCAATCGGGTAAAACACGGGCGTTGCCCGGGTCATTCGGCTAGTAGATTATAAACACAAGGTAATAAGACCAAATCCAAATAAATAGTGTGTGAAGTTTCTGTAACGTTGTTACCAAAACTTCACACACTCTTCTTTCTTATCTCCACTCAATCATATTAGGGTGTCAAGCTTGTAAAGTTTGAGAATTTTGATGGTGTCTGTCGGGGATGAGTAGAGCATATCAATGAATGAGTCAATAATGTGTTTTGTCTTATTACCTTGTGATGAAAATCATTTGTAAAAAAAAAAAGTCTGTTAGGAATACAGTTAAACCTGTCTATAGCGCCCCTTCTTGGGACTCACCAAAATAGGGTACTATAGAGAGGGAGTGCTATAGACAGGTCACTTTTAATGTAAATCGCATCGTACTACGTATTTAAAATGGGGCGCTATAGAGAGGTTTAATTGTATATAAATAACACATGTTTATCGAAAGTAGAGACAACCTCTCCTTTCAATAAATGTATCAAATACACTCATTTAGAGGGGGCGCTATAGACAGAGAGAGGTTCAACTAATTTCTAAAATGACCTATATATATTTTTTTTTGCTTATCCCTAGTACACGTGGTACAGGCCATGATAATCATGGTGGGTAGTTAGCAACTGCTTTTACTGTAAGTGCACCACATGTCTACACATGTGAAAAGCAGTTCAACTTTACACTTACAAATGTGCCAGAGCCCCATTTGGTTACTTGCACTCGCTGGTGGGGTTGGACTTTTGCAAGAATCGAGGGGCCCATTGAAGCATTTTTTTTTTTTAAACATAAAAAAGTGCCCAATGCGGGAATCGAACCCGGGTCGTAGCGATCGAAAACCAACGGTTTAGACTATCCTTCCACCGACCCCCCATGACCTATATATAAACTCGCCAATCAAATAAAAACAAATTTAAAAGAGAAATGTATATGTACCACCCTGCCACATCAGTGTTGATTGGTGTAAGAATGTTCTATACTGTATCACTTTAGCAGAAGATCAATTAACAGCCAATCAAAAACCTCCTGCATGGTCTGTCTGTACCTTTCACTAAATAATGCTAATTTACCAACTAAAGGTAGAGAATTTTATTTGAAATAAAATATTAGCTTCACAAAATCATGGGTTTGGCAAGATGGGCCATCTATTTCAAATGATACATAAGGGCAAGCTAGTTGCAAGATTCAAAAACAACTTGATAACAGAAAATTTAGGCTTTGGTGAAAAAAAATGGTATCATGGTAGTACACATTAATGTTTTTTTTTTTTTTTTACTCTAAAAATAATTTGCCAACACAAGAAGGGAAAACTCCAAATATTATCAAAATTACAAACTTGATGTCAAAAAAAATAATAATAATACAAGGCACTCATTAATATATATTGCCAGATCATAACCAAAGTTACAACCTAGATTTATTTAAGCATATCTATAAGCAAAATGTCTTATAATTAACAAGCTTCATAAAATGGTAAGGGGGTTTTACTTTAATTAGAGCACCAACAAATTTTGGTTAAAAGCAAATCTCATATATTGAAATAAAAAGAACATGTTTGCAAAAATGTGTAAAAATAATAGGAGTTACTATTCAACATGTCAGACTCTATATGAGAAACATCTAAAATTATGGGGGGGAAAAATATAAAGCACATGTACTTCTGAAAACATTTACAAAAAATACCAAAAGATATTTTAAATATTGTGGTACACAAGTATCTTGGGAGAATTCAAAGCAAACTATTTTTCTACAAAATAGAAACATTCTTAAATATTGATATAGTATATATATGAAGATTTTTGCTAGATTTAATGTAAATATTAGATATTAAAAAAAATTCTTCATAGGAAGCATTATAGAAAAAGTTAAGCTTTGGTGAACAAGTTTATATTTTTTTAAGGGGTAAATCTAAACAAAGGACAATTATGAAGTGATATGAAATCTTTTACTTACGTGTCTTTATCATACAATGTATATATATATTGAGAAATTTATTTTTAAGGTGGTAATAATTAAAAAAAAAAAAACTTTTATTTCACATTCATATCATATACATTATAATGCCTAGGTGTATTTTGAATGATAAGATGTTCTTCAAATGTCCTAATTAATAATTTTTCATTGTAAATAATGATATAAGGGAAAGTTATGTAGTTTATTAGAATGGCTTTATACAGGTGATTTGATGCTGAAGATGTCCTAGCGACGACCACCACGGCCTCTTGGTCTATAAGGTACATTTCTTTGATAAGAAGAACCTCCTCGTCTTCGCATGGGACCACCATAGCCATCATTATTGGAATCACCCCATGGATCCCAGTAGTTATTTCCATAGCCTCCACCATAATTTCCATATCCGCCACCATAGTTATAGCCATAGTTTTGAGCTCTCATGTTGTCTTTTTCTTGCTTGGATAAGGCTTTCTGAACTTCATAGCTTTTTCCTTTCAATGTATGATTTCTTACAAGAGCAATCTTATCAACAGGATCATGATCATCAAATTCAACAAAAGCAAATCCTCTTCGCTTTTGTGTTTCCTTGTCAACTGCTATGCTTACATCAGTAATTTTTCCATATTCTCCAAAATATTGTCTTAAATCATCCTCTTCAACTTCATCTTTAAGACCACCAATAAATATTTTTTTAACTGTAACTTGCGATTCTGGTCTACCGCTTTGATCTCGTGGGACAGCTCGTTTTGTTTGAACTTCGCGATCGTCGATTTTGTGCGGGCGCGCTGCCTGTGCGGCATCCACCATTGAGGGCTCTTTGTAGGTTATAAATCCGAAGCCTCTAGATTTTTGGGTATTTGGATCCTTAACAACAACACCATCAACAACCTCACCGTACGATTGGAAATATTCTTTTAGGGCCTCGTCGGTTGTCTTAAAATGAAGATTACCAACGAAAAGTTTGCAAAGCGCTTCTTGGTTAGCCATCTTAATTTTGAAAAGTTGATGAAATCTAAGTTAACAATCTAACGCTTAAAATATATTTTAAACAGGCTAAAGTTAAATACTTTTAGCGTTAAATAAAAATATTATTTTAAGAAAATATAATATTTTAAAGAATTAATGTTAACTCACGCGGCAAAAAAAAAAGGCGGCTTCACAATGATGATAAGAAATTCGTAAAGTTAAGAAATGCGGTTATTACTCATTGATTCAAACGAAAAATATAAAAATTATTTGCGAAAAGAAAAAATTAAATAATATGTATGTTTGAAGTAAATACTAATTAATAATATATATATTAAATAAAGTGGTATATTCTTAATAATATTTTGAAATTTTTATTTTTTATAAATTACTCAATTTTAAACTAAACAATTTTTTTAAATCGGAGATTAGAATATGAACATAAATTTTCAAAAATTGCGCGTATTTTAAAGAAATTGCTGTTTTAAAAAATGCATTTGAATCAGTTTATGAATATATTAATACTGAAATAAACTATTTTAAAATGAATTGTTTCAAAATGTTTCTATTTATCGTAGGCCTACTGGTATAAAAAATGCGCGGGAAAACAGAAAATTTCTATTTTTAAAAATATGCTATTTCTTTAAGCTAAAAAATTTTACCCAGGTTCCTGAATATTTATTTAAGAAGTATTCTCAATAGTTTTACTTTATAAACAGGTTTACAACTTAGAGAAAAAAAAATTATTATTGAAAAGAATTATTTGACTTATAGCTTTTTATTAACCCAGGTTCCTGAAGTGTACATATTTCGCCAACTTCTCAGTTTTCACATTTCTCAATTTTCATACACACTAAAGAGTAAATAATTGAAGCACACATAACAAAATTTAATTAATTAATGACAAGTTGAACAAATATGAAAAAAAATATATATATATATATATAACTTGAAATGCCTATAATCTAAAAATGATTCCTAATAAAAAAAAAAAAATTCGCAATAGTTTAATCACAAATTAGCATTTGAAACAAATTTCGCGAAAATTTTAAATAATAGTCTTTTAAAAAATATATTTAATAACATATCTCTTTTTTTATTTTCATATAGCATTTGATGCATATTGCTCGCAAATTTTAAATAGTAGCCCCCTAAAATATATTTATAAACATATTTTTTATTTGCATATTAAATAATATAGTCACGACCGTCTTTCCTCATTCCTCATCGGCCGCCTCTGTCACGGATGCGCGCGCACAGGGAGGTCACGTGCTCGCCGGCAGCAAACGGGCGCGCGCCGCCGGCATTACGTCATAGATTATAAACACAAGGTAATAAGGCCAAATAAAAAAATAGTGTGTGATAAGGCACAATTTGGATTATCCCTATATATAGTCACGACCGTCTTCCCTCATCGGCCTCTGTCACGGATGCGCGCGCACAGGGAGGTCACGTGCTCGCCGGCAGCCAATAAAAATAAAAAATAAATAAAAAACTCCCTCGAGCCAGATTTGAACCAGCGACCTAAGGATCACCTTTGTAGCATCTACAGTCCTCCGCTCTGAGCTATCGAGGGATACAAACTGTATGAATAAGTTTACCTTATAAAGTCAACTAACCCTATTTCTACACAAAATGTATATATATATAGTCACGACCGTCTTTCCTCATCGGCCTCTGTCACGGATGCGCGCGCAAAGGGAGGTCGCGTGCTCGCCGGCTCCCTCGAGCCGGATTTGAACCAGCGACCTAATGATCACAGTTGTAACATCTACAGTCGGGTAAAACACGGTTTTCGGCTAGTTTTAAATATATAACTAATTATATAACACAAATGCGCTTCAGGGGCCTGGGTTACCTTTATGTTCTACTAGCGCAAATATGTACATATTTTAGTAATTAATTAATTCGAGCCTTTGAGATTTGAGGCTTATTCTATACAATTCTTTATGTACTTGAAGGAGGAAGATATCCAAAAATTTATGATGCGATCTCCTAATCTCCTTGATAATCAAGCCAAAAATTATCAAAAATATTTAATGTGTAAATATTAATTAATCTAGAATCCAGAGATAGGATATATAATCTTATTAATAACTTTTTATGTGAAATATATTGTCGCGTATAAGGCCTGAAAAAACACCTACAACCTCCTTCAATAGATGGCGCTTTCGCCTGTTTCTGATCTGAAACTGGTTTGGGAATTTGTAGACTGCTGTAGTCCCGTTTGTTGGGACAAATGTTTGTAAATACACATTTATATTGGCCCTAGGATGTAATGTATTGCAAATACCCTTTGAATGTTATTCTAGTTATATGTAATGTGTAGTAGAAGTGATAATAAAAGGAGGAGTGTTAGAAGTCTCGGTGCCGATTGCTGTTGTTACTCTCGCCAGCGCCACATTTGCTACTCTTCTGGTAAGTCTCTCGTGTCCCCCCCACCAGTGGTAAGGCCGAGAGATACTGCCAGTGAAAAGGAGTTCCACTTGAGTGGTGTTTTTCAGGAAGTCTTTGGGTGCTCTGCAGGGTAGAGCTGCAGAGGAGAAGCAACAGGAGCACTGAGTAGGGGTTAAGTGATCCAGGAAGGTGGAAGTGGCGTCGTCGCGTAAAACTGGTGGGGTCACACTCGACAATATATATAGGTATGTCATAACAGGCTCAAGGTGGCTATCAGAAAGCCAAACGCCATTCTAAGATTTTTCGATGTAGCATTGAGGGCCTGTCACCATTTTATCACCTATGGATACATATTTCTAAGAGGGCCGCCTCTTATGGTAATGAACCCCCTTTCTCTCCTGAAGAGAACTATCTCTAAGTATGAATCACTATTTTTGTGGACATAAAACCTTATCATCAAATATGTATATATCCAGTGGTTTCAAATCAGCCTGACTTTTCAGACTATGGGAAGTCATGAGAGCCAAACACCACTGTGGTAAAAGAAAAGCTTCATGAACATATGGTCTCTAGTTCTCTTCTTCCTTGATCTTGGAAACTCTTCTCTACTGGTTGAGATATTTGACAAATGCCTCAGGCTGAGGGAATCAATTCCCTCAAACACAGAAGAGCCTCCTTATACTTCTGCCCAAAAAGTCTATTTCAGCCAATAGGCATCTGATGAATTACAGATCAATCACTATCCTGAATACTATGGCCAAGGTTTTTATAAAAGTTTTATAACCTGGCCAGACTGCATAGTTTTCTGAATCACCATGGATGGTAACACAGGTCTACAAAAAAAACTTTTTTTTTGCACAAGAGAACCTGATGGTGTTTCTAGTGTAACTTTTCATGCTGAACTCAAAAATCTAATCAGAAATTTCCCATCACCCATGGTTTTTGCCTGACGATCTTTTTTTAGTATTGGGATAAATACATGCATCAAACATGAAAGAGACTTACGAAAACATGAAACTGCTTTTGAAAAAGATAGAATATGAAAGATACAGTTGGAAAATATGCAGCGATTTGAAAGTCGTTGCTCTCTTGCGTGGATTACAGCTTGGATATACAAAATTTTGTTGTTTTCTGTGTGAGTGGGATAGCAGAGATAGGGAAAGGCATTACATTAAAAAAATCTGGCCAAACCATAAAATCTATACTCCAGGATATAAAAATATTGCAAATCTACCCCTGATAGATTCAGAAAATATTTACTTACCACCATTACATATTAAACTGGGATTAATGAAGAACTTTGTCAAGGCAATGGATCGAAATGCCAGTGGATTTGCCTACCTAAAACAAAAATTTTCAAGTATAAGTGAAGCGAAGATTAAAGAAGGCATTTTCGTTAAACCTCAGATTCGAGAATTGCAGCAGGATGGAAATTTTCAAAATAGTTTGAATGAAGTTGAAGCAGCAGCATGGAATTCCTTTAGAAACGTTTGCAAAAACTTCTTAGGAAGTGTCAAGGTTGAAAATTACCGAGACATAGTTAATGATCTGTTGCTTTCCTACAAGGCACTGGGATGTAACATGTCCCTCAAGATCCATTTCCTGCATTCACATCTAGATTTCTTTCCAGACAATCTTAGCGCAGTTAGCGATGAGCATGGTGAGAGGTTTCATCAAGCTATATCAAGCATGGAGAAGCGGTACCAAGGTAAATGGAGTCCCGCTATGCTTGCCGACGACTGCTGGGCACTCAAGAGGGATCTACCACAAGCAAAGTATAGAAGAAAATCCACTGTCACTGCTTTTCAATAATAAATATGTTTCGTTCATATATGCCTATATATTAACAATATTTCCAAATTCAAGTAGGTGTATCTCAGAAATATTGTGTAATAGAAAAAACTAATGGTATATTTGGATTCAGGACATGTAGATAAGGTGCTATTTCTTTGTGAACAAAGAAAAATATTTTTTGATAAACCAGTTACGTGACATTGTTTGCAATTTTTAGTGTATTTATCCCAATACTAAAAAAAGATCGTCACGCAAAAACCATAGGTGATGGGAAATTTCTGATTAGATTTTTGAGTTCAGCATGAAAAGTTACACTAGAAACATAATCAGGTTCTCTTGTGCAAAAATATTGTTGACCAGTGAATCTGTCAACCAATTTGGATATATACATTTCTGATTAACAGAAGAAGCCCTCGCCAAGTTTATTAATAATATTTTGTGTAAATATAAGAAAAAGGCATCTCCTTATCGTGCAACTGAAAGTTGCTGATGGCTTGCGCCATCTATCAGAATAAATATCAACTATTCTCGTTGATTTTTAATTATTCTAGTATTGACCAAATACCCATTCTTGATTAATCAACTGCGCAAGCCATCAGCAACTTTCAGTTGCACAATAAGGAGATGCCTTTTTCTTAATTTATTCACCTTATCCCAGTACAATATCACATTTGTACTATTTTTCAATATATTGTGTGTGTGTCACGTTACGGAGGAGAGGAAGAATAGTCTTTTAATTAAGATAGACAAAATATTTATGTATACAGATAAGATCATAATTATTTACAATATTAATAATCAACAAGGTACATGAAACAGCAGTAGGGCTAATTCAATTCACAGGCAGATTAATTTATTTAAGCAGTGATAATTTATTATTTAATGGAGACCAGCCATCACCCAAAGGTTCAAAAATATGTCTTTCTCTGGTTCAATGGCCTATCTTTTGTAAAGCTTTTGTTAAACAGATTGGTATCAATCTCTGCATTAATAGCAATAACTTACACGTTTTCTCATCTTTGAACTCCTTAAGGTTCTGTGCATCATTGTTCAGTTCATCATGAGTGTCATCAGAAAGTTTATTAGATGGCTTTGCAACTGCTTTACCCTTCTGGTCATATGCCTGTCAAAGCTATTTATGGCAGAGCGCCATCTAGTGGAACAAAAATAAACTAAACGCACTCTGCCATCTAGAAATGCTCACGTGAGCCTGGTCAGGATATACCTTTTTTGTTTTTAATATCAACACCTGACCATTTATATATATTTTTATTGTTTTTTCACATATAATACAAATACCTAAGTTCGCCACTTCGCGAATTGGATAGCGATTTTTATCTAACTAAAAGCGTCTATAGTTGTTTCCACTTCACATTCATGGACTAATTTAAATGGAGAAACCATGCTGTAAGCAATTGTGATGTAAGTGAGAATATATACAGGGTGTACCAGGTAAATTGGGACTAACTTTGACAGTCCATAAAACAAAAACTTGTTGTTTTTTTCATTACGTAGCCATATTCATGTAAAATGCAACAGTACATGTGTGCGCAGTGTAGTGATGAAGAGTAACCGAGAATTTGAAAATCGAGCTGCCATCATCGTTGCTCTGCGGCGCGCCGGAAGGAGCCCCAAAGAGATAGTGGATTTTCTTAAGTTGCCCAAAACCACTATTTATCGTGTCAAGAAGCAGTTTGATGAGGCCGACAGTAACAAAGAGGGGATAGCTACAAGGAAAAAGCACTCGCGTCGATCGGACAGGGTAAGAGGCGAAGAATTTGTCAAAAATGTCAAGGAGAAGATTGATGGAAACCCTGGGAAGAGCATGAGGGCCATAGCCAAGGAAATGGACGTTGGCTCTATGACAATTGTCAGAACTATCCATGAGGACCTTGGTCTCAAGTCTTATGCCCTTCGGAAAGGTCAGTTGCTGACTGAGAATATGAAGAATAACAGAAAAGGAAAGGCTGCTGCCCTCCTCAACAACCTGAAACACGACTCTTTTGGCATGCTAAGGTTCTTCTCTGACGAAAAGAACTTTGACGTGGACCAAAGGTAAATCCCAGGAATGATCGCTGGATCTGTAAAGACCCCTCAGAGATACCTGTCGTGATGCACACGAAATTTCCTGCCTCCGTAATGGTCCTTGGCGTTATCAGCAGTGAAAGTGATGTCATGCCTCCCCATTTCTTTGAGAAGGGCCTTAAGATGAACGCTGACACCTACATCAATGTTCCGGAGACCGTTGTGAAGCCTTGGATGGACATGGTGGCCGCAGGAAGGAAGTATGCCTTCCAACAGGACTCAGCTCCAGCCCATAAGGCAAAAAAGACACAATCGTGGCTGACACTTAACGTCCCTAGTCACTGGGGTCCTGATATTTGG